ATTTGTGCCATCTCCAGAAATCCGTGTACTGAACAATCGTATTAAACACTGCATAGTCTAGTGCTATTATACAACGAGTGGTGCTTTAAGTGTATGAGGCATGAATGATCCGTTTGATAGACATCGATATGGGAATGTATCTTGTAAGGAAGCATGATATCGATTGATGTGTTAGGCGGTCTTGCACGAATTGCAGAGGATGTACATTATATTTCCGTGCAGCATGTGCACTTTGCACACATTGGAAAAGAAAACAAGAAAAAAAAAGAAAAAGAACAGTGTTGCGAACGAAAATGAACGCGAAAAGTATGCCTAGAGACTGATCCGCAGAGAAGAAACAAAGATATGCGAATATGGTGTTCCTACGCGATCGAGAAATAAATACACGTGGTGCGAAACAGAGAGTCATCATCAATGACGATAACGATGATTAAAAAGAATATTGATTGAGAGAAGAAACGGTGCACATTGACTTCAAAGAGAGATTTTGGTACAAATCTTTTAAAAAAGGAACAGTATTATCACTTAATGAAGAGTGAAAAGAAAATTCAATATAGCTGCAGGTGTATTAAGATTCCCGCGGGGGGAAGTGCGTCAAAGTGATGTTAACGGACAAGTAAATGATGTCATACTTGTTAAGAAGTGTTTCGTGATCTGTGCGATAAGTATATGCGATAATCAATTATGCTATCTTTGTGAAGAGTACCTTAGTAGACGAACATAATACCAAGGTAATAAAACACTATGACATAGATGTAAAGCGGGGCTGCAATGTGTGAATGAGTCACATGCAAGTGTTTTATGTAAGAGTGTGATCTAAAGACATGGAAAACCATGAGCGAGTGGAATATGAACTGTTAGAGCAGTGCGATCGCTACTCTGATGGAGTGTTTCGCGTGGTTGCAATGATGCAATGAGTGCATTAAGCAACTCGAAGAATGTGTGTCACGCCAAGCGTCCGCGCCTCGCTGTTGGACAGACAATCCGCGAGGATCGCGCGACTGGCGGGTGCAAAGTTGCAACTGGAGCGACGTTTCGTGCACATTGATGGCGAGTACGCGAGTAGCGAGTACGCGAGTGGCAACGAAAGATCTCTTATCTGGCGAGAAATCGACACTGCGTTCGAGAATCGTGTTCCAATCGGTGCGGTAATCAACGCGAACTACATCGAACCGCGGCAGTTTTTAGAAGAGGTGAATGTTCTTCATTAGCTAGTAAGATTACTCCCTTTGGTCCGTAGTTTATGAAATAACATTTTTTAGACTTGAATTAATGGTGTTGAAAATAAAATTGAAAAAACAATTATATAGCCATTATTTAATAAAGTATTGACTAAACTTCATGTTCTTATAATGAAATTTCGGACTTGAAAGTAATACTGCTCTATCAACTATTCCCAATTAATTACCTTTTCTTTTGAGAACTTGGATATGTTGAAAGATAATTCAAATAACGTCCGGAAAAAGTAGACTTGTAAAACCAGTCGAATTCTAACATTCTTTTCTCATTAATAATGATTGTCAAGTCTAATAAATTAATTCTATTGTTCACTTCCATCGTGAGCTGTAACCTCGGATGCCAAGAATTAAAATTTGTGAGTACTTTATCAATTTCGCTAGATGGCAGCCATAACGATATCATCCTACATACCTAAAATAAAACGAGATGAAAATACCTGTCTTCTTCAATGTATCCATTTCTAGATCCTCCATCACTAAGTTAGCAATAATCGGAGAAAGAGGTAAGCCCATTGGAATATCAAATTTTTGCTTAAAAAGCTCCTCATTAAAAGTGAAACATACCGAATCCAAAACAAAATGCAGAGTATTCAAAAATTCTTTTTTCGGAATTAATATTGATCTTTCAAGATACTTTCCATATCTTGGCTACACATTTCCTTGCTAAATCTAATGGAATGTTGATGAACATCGAGGGAAATCATTATCTAAAACAGTACCTTGTATTTTTTGTATTAATTGAAAACTATTTTCAATATGACTGGCCAGTTTCGGTGACCTTCTTACAATTATTTCATGTAAAAAAGCAGCTAAGATATAATGGACAGATATAATGGACTGTCCAGAGATTATAATTCGAAAGGGACAATCTGACTTATATACCTTCGGAAGAACATAAATTCTAGGTAGGATGCCGTCAGTGCAAAGCAGTTTTTTATAAGTCTGATCAGTAATGAATTCCTTTTTCTTCCAATGAACAAGCAATTTTCTAGTTTTTTTGGTAAGAGTATTGATAGGATTCTTCATTATCTTAATATAAGTCTCTGTTATTTAATTTCCTCATGATTTCTGAAATATACCTTGTTCAAGGTCACGGTGATATTATCTTTATCTGCTTTAGTGAAAATGATGTTACGATTATTTTTCATAAATTGAACGTGTAATTGATCAAATCTTTCAATCTTTTTGAGATATTATTATTATTCTTAATGGAGCTTAATAAAAAGTTTTTTAAAATTAGAGTAATTAGATTTCTAACTCTCAAAATTGAAGCTTGATTTTCTTCAAATTACTTTCTGTATTTTTGAAAAACTCCATCATTACTTCACACTGTTACTAGAAAAAATGAAAAATTTCTCTCCCAACTGTAAGAGAAACTGGATATTCCTTAGGATGGTGGTACCTGATAAATTGACAAACCAATCTTCTCTCTCTGTTTGTAACAAGGACTCAGATGATTTATCTAAAAATTCCTTTAAATTCAATCTCATTCTTCCAATTGTTCGTTAAGCAAATAATGTTATTGTGTAATGAGTATTGAAGGTTAATCAAATAATCTCCATTAAGTTATTTTATTGTTATCAGTTTCATTGTTCATTCATTCTAATGAATCAGTATTAATTCACTATAAATTTCTCCTATTTAAAAAAAAAATCCATCTGAGTTTTTAGATAGGTTCCCTTCTTCTAGTTTCAAAAGATATTGAAAAGGTATGTTTTTGTATAATAAAAAATGATATTTATAGATCTATCGACCATTCCAAGAAACAAATTTTAATTCTTAAGAGAAAAATTCAAGGATATGTTCCTTTACATTGTAGCTTCTTTTTTATTAAATAAGAACATACTTTTCAGCATCTTTTGAAACTAGAAGAAGGGAAACTATCAAAAAACTCAGATTTTTAATTTGCCAAATGTGTAATTGTTGGAGAAAGAATTGAAAATATATTTTTAATTTTTTTTATATAACACTAATTTATTTTTATACGGTATTTGTGAAAGTTATATCTCCAACAGTTACGCTAACATTTGATAAATTATTTATTAATTATTTGTTTACATATGTATGTTACGTATTTACATCTGCAATTAAATTAACAAAAAGAATTTTGTACAGATAATTTCGTACATATATTGTCCAGTTGAACATTTTTTACAGCATATTAAATATAAAGAAACATAGCTCATGTGACTATTAATGAGACATGCACTCCATACACAAACGTGATTTTTTAGTAATAAACTGAAAAAATAAAAATTCAAGAAAAGGAAAATTAAAAATTTCATACAATTACTTTGCGAAACATTTGGTTATTGTTTATATCTATTGTTTATAGCTATTTGTTTATATCTCGTCGAACTATCCCAGATTAAAAAAAAAATCATGTTTCTACATCAATTTATTGCTGACAAAATGTAAATTTAGGAAATTTAATTTAGGAAATCAGATACGTGCGAGTTGCCGAATGGTCCAATCTTCTCCACTCCGCCCGGCGCGCTGTCACCCTTATGTTCCTCAACTTTCCAATGGTTTTAAACAAACTTTTTCAGTAGCAAAAAATTCAAGAATTTTTTAACAGCAAATTCAATTCTTCCTTGATAAATTGGCTAGATAAAACTCTTAAGCTTAAAAATTAAAATCACAGTATTTTTTTGAAAAAAAATTGTTATCTCGGCTTCTATTGTAATCGGAGGGTAACCTGTTTTTTTAAATTCGTAGAAAAATGTCAGCTGTCGAACGGCTTCACACGGCTATTTAATATGATTCATATTAACAGAATTATTCCAATGAATAGAAAGCGAGAAAAAAAGACCTTTTTTGATGTTTTTTAATTTTCTTCTACTTAATTAATAGATCGATTTTAATGTTCTACATCTTATTTTGTAGGTATTTCGAATATCTACATTTTTTTATATCGATTTTTCCATACAATCAATATCTTTCGTTTTATAAATAAAAAACGTGCTTTTTATAATTCGATTTTTTACTTATTTTTTTCACATGTCTCGAATTTCAAACATACGCATTTCTTTTCTGATAGCCTTTTGAAAATTTTCATGAAGAGAAATGTTGGTTTATAATTTTTTCCAGAAAAAAATTCTACTTCTGAACTATTCTTGCTACTCGAGTTTATGAAGGAAGTATAATGCGTATGAAAAATCGTAAACAATTAAATATCTCCTAAACTGTTGCGTTTTAACATGATTTATACTATTCTGGATTAATGAGATTGATACTGTCACTACAATTTATTAAAACTTATATGTTATTTAAAATGTCTCTCGCTCCTTATTGATACCGGGGACCGCCGATCGATCGAGATTGCCGAGAAAGCATTTTCGATCGCTTAAAACAAGTAATTAGTGTGAGAAGGAGCTTGCTGTCTCATTCACTCTCGGTGAGCTAAAAGCGAACGCACCTAGATGGTACACTCATGCTTGAATATATGATTACCTGTTTCGTCAGCCTGCTGTTTGATTCTATGTCGCTACCGTCAACGCAGAATTCTTGGCTGAGTAGTCAGAAATCTTAATTTTCGATAATGCAGAGATTCTTGTAACATTTTATATTAATTTCCATATTTAAGCTTTTGACAAATTCAATTCAAGGATAAATAAGTGTAAAAAGAGTATAAATAGTTTGCAAGACATTTATTTATTTATATAAAATGCAGAAATATATAAACCTTTAAAATGTCTCAAATTATTAATTCTCTAATAACAATTTAATTATAAATTAAATTTTTTAATTAGAACTTCTTCATCTATCTTCTCTCATCTATAACTCGTTTTGTCTTCATCTATCTCACCTCTTTCTCGTTTTTCATCTCTTAGCATTGCTTTCTCACCAATATCACTCCCTAGTCTTTTATCTCTCCTCTCTTGTTTTTCGCCTTCATCTCAATTCTTCCTTCTCTCATTTTTCGCCTCTATCTCATCACTCGTCTCTTTCGTACTTCCAATTTCTTGACTTGCCTGTAATAATCCTTTTACATCATTACTAAGAAATAAATAGTTTACAATACATTTTACATCAAAATATACAGAAATAAAACATAAAATGTTAAATTATTTATTGTTTGACATCAGCTATTTAATTTCAAGATTAAATTTCAAAGTTAAAATTTCTCCTCTCACTTGTATCTTGAATTATATACATCTCATTTCTCATCTCTCAACTCCTCTTTCAACTCTACCCAGCTTTTTCCTTCTCTAATCTCTCGGCTCTCATCTATCGCATCTCATCACTCGCTTTAAATCTTTTTCCTACTAATGTCTTGTCTCGCCATTCTCATCCCTATTTCGTCATTACTAAAAAATAAATAGTTTATGATACATTTTATTTACAGAAATGTACAGAAATAAAATATAAAGTGTCTGAAATTATTAATTTTTAACAATAATGATATAATTTTAAGATTAAATTCTACATATAGTTAAATTTCTTCTCTCACCTGTATTTCGTTTTTTCTTTGCCTTTCTTATTTTTTATCTCTCGTCTCTCCTCTCTCACCAATATCTGGTTTCTCCAGTCTTTTGTCTGTCCTTCCTCATCTTTCGCTTCTGTCTGGTTTTTTTCTTCTTTCATCTCACCTTTTGCCTCTATCTCGTCCAATTACTCGTCCAATTACCCTCACATCTCTCTTATTTCCAATGTCTTGTCTCACTTCTCTTATCTCTTTTTCGTCGTTACTAAAAAATTAGCTTACAATATATTTTATATCAAAATGTACAGAAATAAAACGACTGAAAACGACGAAATCATTAATTCTTTGAAAATAACAATTTTATTTTAAGATTAAATTTAAAAATAAAAATTTCTTTTCTTACCTAAATTTAGATTCGAAGTACGATGTAAAGTTCATGATACATTTAAAATGAAAACAAAACTTCAAATATCTAGCATTCTTAATACTGAAAAAATGTCATATTTCTTACTTGTTGAGAATATGTCAGATATGAAAATGATACCAAGTACATCTCAGATGAAGATCTTGCAAAAGCAAGCGTTTCTTCCGAGAAAAAGGAAATTGGATGGTAACGTAAAAATAGTGAAGTCTTATTGTGCCATTTTTTCTTTGTTCCTCTTTCTTATTTGGCATCTCTCTTTTCTCGCCGATATCTCGTTCCTTCTCTCTCCTCTCAGGTCTTTCGCTTCTACTTCGTTTCTTTCTGCCCTCATCTCTTATTCACTTGGTATATCTTTCTTACTTCCAATTTCCTGTTCTTGCAACTCTGATCATCTCTTTTTTTTGTCTCCAATGTTCACAAGACATTTTATATCAGAATATACAGAAATAAAACGCAAAATATTTCAAATTATTAAACCTTTGACAGCAACGATTTAATTTTAAAATTAAATTTTTAAATTAAAATTTCTTCTCTCACAAAAAATATCATTTTTTTCTGTCCCTCTCGTATCTTTTTTATTTGCTATCTCTCATTTCACCAATCACCAATATCTTGTTTCGTCTTTCTCTTGTTTCATATCTCTCATAAAGAAATATGTTAATGTTTGTTACTAAGAAATGTATAGTTCACAAGGCATTTTATATCAGAGTGTATAGAAATATTATAAAATGCAAAATATCTTAAATTATTAATTCTTAACATCAACAGTATAATAATTTCAAGATTAAATTTCAAATTTAAAGTTTCTTCTCTCACCTATATCTTAAATTGTATACGTCTGTCTTTTCTCTTTCTCATTTTCCATTTAGTGACTTTTCTCTTTCATCTTTCGATTCTATCTCGTTTCTTCCTTCATTCATTTCTCACCTCTTGCCTCTATCGTGTCTCATCCCTCGTCTGATATCTTTTTTACTTCCACACACGTCTCGACATTGTCGTCTCTTTTTTATTAGTACACTGATAAGAAATAAGTAGTTTACGCGGTATTTTACGGAAATAAAGTACAAAATGTCAAAATGTCCTGCTTCGTCTCGCATCTCCTTCTTACTCCCACACAGTAATTTGTTGTCCAGCCACTCTCATCTCTCTCTTTTTTTTTAATTTGCGAGGATTTTCTGCAGGAAAAACTTTTACTATTATTTTTACTTTTACTATTATATTATTAACCGCCACTATTAAGACTTAACAATAGGCACAGGTAATAGACACAGACAACAAGGAATAACGAACCGTTCAATCAAAGCTCTAATGTAAGTTCGATATTATATCCTAGAACTCTGATTGAACGGTTCATTATTCTCTGTTGTTTGTGCCTATTGTGTGTTTAAATCTTCATCATTTTATTCGGTAACCTGCACTAACCTCTTACATATGCGCCATTCACCGATCTTCCGTCACGTCACAATTATATGTCACGAAACGTGTCACGTGTCACCGGTGCGATACGCGATATACGTCAATGATGTGCGGAATATAGCGGCAACAATGAGATCGCGATTAAGGGCCAATTTTAGTAAGGTACATGATTATTTTACTTTAGGAGGACTAGCACACAGCGCGCTTTTCATATTTTTATTTTATTTATTATTATTTCGATTTATTTATTTTTATTTATTTATTTATTCTATTTATTTTTTTAATGATTTTTTAATGATTTTTTAAAATAATTTTTGACGAATAGTAAAACGATAATTCACACACTCGCCGAAAATTAAATATAATAGATTCTTACATACAGATTCAAATCCAACCAATTATATTCAATTGCTCGATGAGTAGGCTAGAAAATTCGTTCGGCTTGAACACAATTGAACATATTTTGTTTTAAGAAACAAAATATATTTAATATCATCATGTACATAGCAATAAATAAAATAAAAAATAAATAATTAAACGTTGAAAACGAAAACATCAAGCAATAAATTTTAGGATACACGCGGGTCAATGCGATGTTACTTTGAAGTGTTTTTTAATTGGTTAATTTGTAAAATTCTTTCTTCTAATTGGTCCATCAAATACTTCAAAACATTTGTAGCAGGATTTTGACTATAGTCATAAGCAACAAATAATTAAAAAAAATTTTTTAATGTCGAAAAGAAACTCCAAAGGACAGATAAAATATAAATATAAGATAAAATATAAATATTTTATTAATTTTTTAAAATAAAACAATAATTATGATAAAAAGTTTAATATTACTTATTAATTTCTTAGATGAAACTCTGCATTTAAAAACAAAAACTTCTAATTCAACAATTAATAATTCAACAAAAGATCAACAAGATCGAAATTTTAAATAAAAATAATGAAATTAAAATAATTTATTTTACGTTAAACGAAAGTTTGGAAAATGTTCAAGTAGAAGATTCAACAGTGTAAGTCTTTGTTATTTTAAATTACGCTTACAATTACGTATTTACATATTTATACATTCACATATTTACATATTTATCAGGTGTACAAGTATGAAATGACGATTTGAGAAACAGATGGCGCACCAATGCAGTGTGAAGTACAAAGATTTAACATTATATGCCATTTTATTGTACCATCAACAAGTGTCAAACACGCAAAGTGATTTGATTGAAAAGTGTTTGCATAGTATTGAGTTGCTGTGTTTAATTCTATATGATGAAATTTGTATCAAATAAGGAGCATTCGCGGAGAGCATTAATTTTTTGTTTTCATTTGAAGAAAACTACTGCGGAATCACCGATTACTTGGAGAAGCTTATGAACATGCTTCATCGCAAAAAACGTGTGAACGATGGTTTCAGCGTTTCAAAATTGGAGATTTCGATGTTGCAGACAAGGAACACGGAAAACCGCCCAAAAAGTACGAAGACGTGGAATTGCAAGCATTGCTGGATGAAGATGATTCACAAACACAAAAATAACTTGCAGAACAATTGAGCATTAGTCAACAAGCTGTTTCCAATCGCATACAAGAGATAGGAAAGATTCAGAAAGTCGGCAAATGGGTGCCACATGAATTGAACGAAAGACAGATGGAGAGGCGCAAAAACACACGTGAAATTTTGCTCGAACGATACAGAAGAAAATCATGGGTAGACCCAGGCGCATCATCCACATCGACCGCAAGACCGAATCGCTTTGGCAGGAAGATGATGCTCTGTGTTTGGTGGGACCAGAAAGGTGTGATCTATTATGAGCTATTGAAGGCTGGCGAAACGGTTAATATCAAAGGCTATCAACAATTGATTGATTTGAACCATTCGCTGCTTAAAAAACGACCAAAATACCAAAAGAGGCAACACAAGGTCATTTTTCTCCATGACAATGCTCCATCACATACGGTAAAACCAGTTCGGGACAGTGGAAGTATTCAGTTGGGAAGTTCTATCCCATGCGGCTTACTCACTAGACTTGGCTCCTTCCGATTATCACTTGTTTGCATCGATGGGTCACGCACTTGCTGAGCGCTTTGGTTCGTACGAAGATGTGAAAAAATGGCTCGATGAATGGTTCGCGGCAAAAGAGGAAGATTTTTACTGGCGTAGTATCCACAAATTGCCCGAAAGATGGGAAAAATGTGTAACTAGCAATGGAGCATACTTTGAATAAATCTCTTTTTATCATTCTTCCGAATTTAACGTGTTTTTTTTGGGAAAAAAATCATTTCATACTTGTACACCTGATATAATATACTAATTTTCATACAATCAATTCTTATTTGATATTGTACCGATATTATATTATTGATATTATACTATTATACTAATCTGTGTACAATCAATTTTTTTTTATATTTTTCTATTTTTTTCTTTATTTGATATTTTTAACATAAAAATCGATATTTCAAGGAAATAATTGGATTTCTAGATGAGATTTTCTTAAATTGAGTCCGATTCAATCGATGGGGAGTAATGTCAATTGCAAATTCGGTACAACGTCATTTGTATCAATAAAAAGGATTTTGTAATATTAAATGTTAAATTAAAATTTAATGTTTAATATTAATATTAATTAAAATTTAATATTAATTATTATATTAAATATTGTTTATTTAAAAAATTATCTTTTTTAAATAAATCTTTTTTAAGCTGTGTGTTTTTTCCCAATCAATTGATTAATTTTCTGTTTTGATTATTCTGTTCATAAAAGTATTGAGGTATAATTATAAAAAATTAATAGATTACGATTTATTTAATATTTGATGTCAGTATATAGTATGCCAGAATAAAGTAAAAAAAATAATATCTTCTCAACTATTGGATTTTTTATATCACTATCTTAATAATTATACAGTACTTAATAATTACACAATAATTATACTACCTTAATTTTATATACAGAATAATTAGAGGAATTATATTATACAAAAGAATCATACAATTCCATTTAAAAAAGTGGAGATGACTTTGAAATCTCCGAAATACTATCCCTTTCATCCACAGAATACTATCAGTAGTACATTGTATTCTCTTGATGCTATACGTATATTATTATATATCTTGCTATAAGTATATTATTATATATCTATAAGTATATTATTATATATCTTTAAAAACAGCGGAAATATTGTAAGTGGGTAGAATTATACTGCCCCACCCCCTGTATAC